TTTATTTATTTATTTATTTATTTATTTATTTATTTATTTAATTTATTTATTTATTTATTTATTTATTTATTTTGTTTTTGTTTTTTTGAGAGAGGGTTTTTCTGTGTAGCTTTGCGCCTTTCCTGGAACTCGCTTTGGAGACCAGGCTGGCCTCGAACTCACAGAGATCCACCTGCCTCTGCCTCCCGAGTGCTGGGATTAAAGGCGTGAGCCACCACCGCCCGGCTGAAAGTCTCCTCTTAACTTAGATATTTAAGAAAAAACAAAGGGACAGTGCTCTGGAATTCTTCATACAAAATTAGCACAGTGGTCTCCGACAGGATTGTTTGTATCTGTTTGGTGATAGTGAAGATGAAATTGTTTATTGTGGTGCTGAGGGTAGGACTCAGGGCCTTACAAGTGCTAGGCAAGTGCTCTTCCCATGAGCTATATCTCTAGTCTTCAGTTTTATGAGACAGGTTATTACTGAGTAGATCGGGCTAGCCTAGAACCCATGATCATCCTAGCTCAACTTCTCCAGGTGTGTGGGATGCCTGGTGCACACCACCATGCCTGATTCAAGATGGCTTTAAAATGACATTTGTGTTTTGCTGTCACTTGGAGGGAAGCCAGCTAGCAAATCCACTCTAGGATATCATAGTATTCCTCCTTAGAATAAGACTAAAGGATAAACCAAGTAAAGAAGTACTAGATAAACATTAGGTAAAAGTGTGGGTGTTCTGTGCAATGGCAGGTATCACAAAGGCATTTGCAAACACCTAATACACAGGACACCAAACCCACACAAAATTTTTCTTCTACTTAAGGGAACTCTCTTGAAAATCTCCTTTTAGTAGGAACATAATAGTGGACAATTCTAGACTGATTGCAAATACATGAGAAAAGAAAATTAGATGTTGAACTGCAGAGAAGAAAATAAGTCATCACCCCACCATTGGTACAAGTTGCAGTCAATGTTTGAGAGTGTTTTCTTTCATTCTCTTTCAATGCAGTCTTTTCTGACTTCTATTCAGTCTCAATTGCTGTATTTCACCCCAGAAAAGAAAGTTTATTTTCATGTTTTTGATACACAAGCCATATGTGCTTTAGAAGGCAGGAGTGGTATTGTCCACTTGCTTAGCCCTACACAGTCCCAAACCTGCCTCCATCATGATTGAAACTCATTTGATGAGTTGGGCACAGTGGGTCACACAGTGGGACTGACTCTTCCAGAAGACTTCCTCACCTTTTGTCCTTGGCTCCTCTGTCCTCTTTTAGGGTTCCTACCTACTGCTGTGGGAACAGGATAGAGACATACTTTGTACATCCTTTTGGTGAGGACTATCTATTGAGATGGACAGCTTGGATCAGATTCTCTAGCTTTGGAACTTAGGAATTGTGCCATGTGGTCAGGTGTCTGAGCCCAGTCTCCTCTACATAATGGTGGGCAATAACAGCAACCACTTCAAATAGGTAATCTATGGAAAGTTTGGAAGGTTCTTGGTGCAATTTAGCATTCATTCAGCTCAAAGAATTAACTATGAATGTAAATAAAAATCTGAAGATCTAGTTTAAGCACTGACCTGGGAGGAATCATCTAAGAATTTCTGCATGCATGGAGAAGGGAAAGTAACATTTAAACATTCAAATGTGACTATCAAAGTTGCCAACAAAAGACTAAGAAGGAATTGTTGTTGGAAGAGAGATAAACCAGAGAAATGTGGGGTAAAAGGCCAAGAAAGAACAAACCCACTGTGTGTGATGGTCCTGAGACTGTGAAACATGAATTAGAGAAACTTCAATAGACATGGCAGCAGAGAGCTGCACTTTCCTTGTAGAAAAAGATACTAGAAAGGATTAGACCATGCTTTCATGTCTAACATAAAACAAAAAAAAAAATGCCTAAAAACTTTGTTTTTTAAACCATTTGGAAATTTAAGAAAACTTGATCCAAATTGTAAAGCCACTTAGTCAGCACACTACATAAAAATAAATGGGCTTTATCATTTCATACATTGACCTATACTAAAAATATAAATATTTTAAACCTATGTTTTTCATCCAATACATTCTTAAGTGCAATTTAAAAATCCATTTTGGAAACCAAAAGTCAAAGAAAATGGGTTTATTCTTGGATGTGAGAGTGATGAGGCTGTGTGATAATATCTATCATTATTGTCATCCCCCTCCCCACCCATTGATCACCAGCATTGATTGGGATGATCTGGCTGGCTAGGCAGATATCTCTATCATCTCCCACGACTCAATATGTGTGTCTCCTGAAAGCTTCATACTTGGTTAAAGGGCACAGCCCTCTATGACTGAAAATAGCAGAGACACATCAGTAACTTCATTCCTATGGTGAACCTGAAAACAAGCGCCCAGAGACAATGGGCTTTTCTTTCCAGTGCCAAAGGCATGTGACTCCTTCCATGTAGATCGTGTTCAAAAGCGACATGGCTCTATTTGTTTAAATCTCAACAGTGTCCTTTAGAAACATTTTTATTTTTATTTGATTTTATTCCCTTACACTTCATGTGCATTGGTGTTTTGTATGCATGTGTGTAAGTATACCTTGACTCATCCGCAAGGGCAGCCAGTGCTCTTAAACAATGAGTCCTCCCTGAGAGTGGTTTTTCCATGTCCTTCCTGTCTCTCAGGCCAAGGAGTTAAGTTGGTTTTGAGGTTCTGAATTGTTTCTAAGTAATTTTACAGTAGATACAAGTGTTTAAAAAAAATGAACTAGGAAATTACTTTTAAAAAATAATTTCATTGCACTCGTTAGTAATCATATCAAAATCAATAAACAGCCTCACTTTGGTGATAGTTTATCATTGAATGAAATTGTAGCACTCTTCCCCTAATGGCACTCTTCAGCTTCATCATTCTTAACTTTGATGAGCATGTTTTGAAGAGCAGTTCTTCATGTTCCGGAAGAGCTAACTGCTGCATTTCATACACGAGTGTGTCTACAGACTCAATGAAAGACTTTTTTATAATGAGGAAGCAGACTTTGACAGTATGTAATTTTTCAGTCAATCAAATAGAACACCAAATTCTAGCTGATGGTTTCATCGCCTAAGATATTTCCTTGAAAATGGGAGTTGACGCCAGCAATCTGAACTAATAAAGCTGTTTCATTGTAGCTACATTTGAATTTCCCTCTTCCTGAATTTTCAGAAGTAATTCATCAGCCTAAACCTCAGTAGCCTACAAATTAATTTGTCAGGCTCTGACGATGTTTTGTTACACAAACACGTCCTGCAAAGCCAGCCATTTGAAAAGTAAGATTTGGCATTTTCATTGTGAAGGTGGATTGGAAAAATAAATGAATGCCACAAGACCTGTAATTTCTGATGTCGTATTAATGGAGGTAATTTATTTCCATTCAGCAAATGGGATGAAAGTTAAAATCCAACAATTCAGAAAAAAATAGTGATTTCTATTTCTCGACCTTCAAAGTGTTTTGTGTACCTGCATTAATCTTTCATTATTTTTGCATTTTCAACTCTTAGCACACTACAACTACCCCAAATGAAGACTTTTTCTAAACTAAATCAAATTACTGAAATATAAATTCTACTTGATAATTACTTTTAAGTAAGCGTGTATATGTGTGTGTGAGAGAGTATGTATGTGTGTGTGTGGTATTGTGTGTACAAGTATGTGTGGTGCCTTTGGGAAGCCCCAGAGCATAGTGACTAGAGTTCACAGTGGCCACCAGGTCATCAAGTCCATCTGCACCAAGCTGCAGAATAAGGAACATGCACTTGAGGCTCTGCATAGAGCCAAGTTTATGTTCTCTGGCCACAAGAAGATCCACACATCTCAAAGAAGTGGAGCTTCACCAAATAAATGCAGATGAATTTGAAGACATGGTTGCTGAGAGGTGGCTCGTTCCCGATGGCTGAGGAATCAAATACATCCCCAGTAGTGATCCCCGGGACTATTGGCTAGCCCTGCATTCCTGAGGGCTTCCACAGTACTCTCCTGTACCCTACCAAATCATGTTCAATAATCTCCCATCCAGTCTGCTTATGCTAAAAAAAAAAAAAAAAAAAAAAAAAAAAGACAATGAGGAGAGTGTCATCTTACTGGAGTCCTAATTAACACATGTACAGAAGGACAGAATAGCACAGCCATTGAGAGCCAGCACAGTAGTCACGGATCTCACTGAGAGTTCAGATTGGTGGAAGGTGGGCTTGAAGAACAGCAAGACAGAGGGTCATCTTGGAATATGTATCTACAAATATTGTTGAAGGGACAACGGTAACCTTAGGGTTAAGAAAACTGGCAGATGACATGACCAGAAGTTAGTTAGCACCACCGTTACTGAAAGAGCTGCCCCTGGTGCTGGAAGTGTGGTGGACTTCAAAATTAGTACTCAATGAAGAGACCACATGATGTCTCTTTTAAAACTTCATCTTAAATACTGACTTCTTTTCAGGAGACTTCCCACCTTCTCTGACAACGGGTCCTTTCACAGGCCGATGCTCATCTGTGTCACACTATCATATTCATGAATGTATTAAAACTGCACAAAATAGTAGAAAGCACAACACCAATGTAAAATAAATATTATTATGATCGTTTCAAGCTGTGATTTTAAAAAAAAATCTGAAAAGCACCGGTTGTGGTGGCACACACCAGTAGGATTTGCTGAAGGAGACGGAGGCAGAGAGATCACCAGTTGTTCAAGGCCAGCCTGGGCTACACATTTAGCTAGGTGGTGGTGGCACGTGCTTTTAATTCCAGATCTTGGAAGGCAGATGCAAATGGATCCCTGAGTTCAAAGCCAACCTGGTATAGAGCGCAAATCCCAGGACAGTCAGGGCTACACAGAGAGACCGTGTTACAAAAGAAAAAGAAAAGAAAAGAAACCTGAAAAGCAGTTAGACTAGTGAAGTATTTCTCAGTACACTCCAGACATTTCTAGGCTCCCATTTTAGTTTTCCAAAGATCTGGGGAAACTGAGGTTAAGGGGTATTTTCTTAGAGCATGGGGAAAACAACTTGAAGGCTGTTAAAGCCTAATTTGCTGGTGGCAAAACATTCGGAAAAGCATACTTGGATGGAAATCCAGGATCAAAAAACAAACGAGAGGCCGCCCTGGGCTTGGAGGCCTCTGCTGCAGGGAGGGATTCTGGGTACTTCTCACTGGGTCCAAGAGAACTCGCTTTCTGCGTGTCTTTCACCCAATGTGTCGAGATGCAGTGGTGCACAGGGTAGTGGACGGGAGACTGCGGTATGTCAGAGCCACCTGGGTTTTCTTTTCCCCAACAGATTGAGCCTTTTTTTGTGAGTGTGGCGCTTTATGACCTCAGAGATAGCCGGAAGATCTCCGCCGACTTCCACGTGGATCTGAATCACCCTGCTGTCCGGCAGATGCTCTCCGCGACGCCACCGGCCTTGGAAAACGGCAACATGGACACTGGGGGCACACCGAGACAATCAGAAGAACCTCACATAAAGGGCATTCCAGAGGAGTGGTTAAAATTCCCAAAGCAGGTTGCACTTTGTTTACTTGTAATGGGACCGAAAAGCCTTGCCCCTTAGATTGTTCCTTAACAATGGGTCATATGGGATGGGCAATTTAAAAAAAAAAAAAATTCCCTATAGATGTCTTTTTTAAATGACATTTTGTGAACGTCTTCAGGGTGGCTTCTATGGTAGTTATTTACTGCTTTCTTTGGACATAGGCTATATTCTCTGTGAGTGATCCACACTCTGAAATTGTTTTGGTGGCCAAAGTCGAAAAAGTCTTAATGGGAAACATTGGGAGTGGTGCAGAACCTTATATTAAGAACCCAGATTCCAACAAGGTAAAGATTGTTTTCTTATAAATAATTTCAGTCACTTTGAAGAAATAAAGTCATGCTGCCTTCCTGGATTATAAAAGCTGACAAATATATGACTTTCAATATTCACCTAGCAGTATAATTAATATCTATCAAAAATGCTTTTAATTACACATTTTGGGTTTATGTCCTTTTGACTCAACAGTCTCTGATGTCTATGAATCTGTTAGTAAGGTGGTTCTCAACCTTCCTAATGCTGCAACCCGGTTCTTCAGGTTGTGGTGACCCCTACCAATAAAATTATTTTTGTTGCTATTTTATAACTTTGATTTTGCTTCTGTTATGAATCATAATGTAAATATCTGTGTTTTCCCATGGTCTTAGGTGACACCTGTGCAAGGGTCATTCAGCCCCACCCTACCCCCTTGAGGGGTCATGCCCCACAGGTTGAGAACCACTGTATTAGCAGAAATGAGTTGAAATTTGTATATATCATTTTAGCCCCCAAAATACCCAAAGATGGAGGTATTTACAATAGCAAAGTTAGGAGTCAGGATCAAGTAAAGGCAATTTGCTAAAATATCAGCAAGCTGATGATGGACTCGATAGCAGAGACAAATGATTGTACATTAAATATAATAACAGTGAAGTGCAGGGAGATAGAGATGAGGAAGAGTGTGAGTGGGCTGAATGATAAGAGCAGTGATGTTTTTCTGCTTTCTTCTTTCTATCGCCTTGTTATTTCAAATAATCAAATTATGGACTACCTCCATTTACTAGAAGATAAATATTTAAAGTATATATTTTCCATACAAAGGAATGGTATCAAGGAAATAACTCAAAGCCAATGAATCTGAGCATGTGAGACAATTTAGACTGTCGTTTAACGTGTTCATGTGTTTCTCATATCATGGTTCAGGAAACTATCTGTTCAGATCACATCCAGCCTGTTACCAGCTTTTGTAAAGAAAATTTTATTGACACTCAGTCACACTTGGCCGAGAATGTGTGAAGCCCTGGTTTTGCTCCAGCACTGAAAATGAAAATGTCTCTTGTACTTACTACAGCTACCTCCCCACTTATAGCAATAGATCTGAGGAAGTGTGACAGGGAATGCAGGGTCCATGCAGCTCTTCAGAGAAAAGGCCTCTGGTTGAGTAAAAAATGTGATCAATTGTGAATGTAAATTCGATAACTTTCCATTCATGATTTTAACTTCTCCTAGCTGGAAGGTAGGCAGGAAGAGAGGTAGGACAAGTAAATAATAGTTGATGTTTCAAGACTAGGGGATTTTCCACACTTAGAATTTTCAAATTTAAAAGAAAGCCTAGAATTCTACAATAACTTGAACACAGAGGGTACCATATGTAATCTATGTGCCAGTAAGATGAAACTGTATAGAATTTTAGTAGATAATAAAATGGAAAAATAAGCATTATTATTCCACATGCACAGTTTGTAATTGGCTGTCCCTAAATAACATTTTATTTATTTTTTCCTCAGTTTGCACAAAAAATACTCAAATCCAATAGGCAGTTCTGCAGCAAATTGGGGAAATATCGGATGCCATTTGCTTGGGCCGTGAGGTAAGATCCTACTTTGCAACTCACAGAACAGAGAAGCGCTTACAATCTGCATTGGTAGCTATGGCTTTGAATGCCTTTATGGTTGTCTATTATTTTTAATGGAGCCACGCCTAAAGAAATGTTAACATGGTGTCATCTTTGTAGACATCATGAGCTCTGCAGAGATATATACTTCACAAATTAGTTCAGCAAGACAGCTTATCTGAAGGCCCCTGACTTGTATACAGTGGGGGCATGGCCAGATATACTGGGAGGTCTCAGTCAGTACCAAATCGAAATCATAACTTGTTTATACGTAACTGATTTAATGAACACAATGCTTGTTCAGTCCTGAGAGCCAGATGGACATAAGATAAGGAGGGATGGTGCATACTTTCCTGTGCACCTGCATACCTTCATTTATTCATAGAGCTCTGCTCTGTATGTGAATGTACAAATGAGACCATCAAGTTGATCACTTAAGCTGCCTTTGATTTTGGTATAAATTAGCACAGTCAATCATATCCCCAGTTGACTCTGATAGAAAAGCTGGGTTTTGGGGGACAAATAGTAGACCATCCATCCAAAAAATGGAACCTCTGTGGAAAATAGAATTTGCTTTTCAGATCTACTGATACATCAACTCTAGTGTCCTTCTCAAACTCATTACACCTGCATTGCTATAAGAATTCCTTAAATGGGGAAAACCCTGGCATAGACTCATAAAACAACTCAAGATCAGCAATGAAACAACTTAACTAAAAGGGATTAACTACAGGCCTAGAACAGAACACTCATTTAATTAATGTTGGTGGCATTATCCCAAAGGTAGTCCCTTCAACTCAAAATGCAAAGTCCAGAAGGAAGGGTTGACCTGTTGGGCATTTTTCAGTTCACACAGCTTCCATTGAGGCACACGTTCAGAGAAAACCCACCAATGTGTGTCAGAATGTTATGGCCGTTATTTAAGACTGGAGACCAGAAGATAGAAGGGCAGAAGGATTCCAGCCCCAGTAAGCCATGACAGATTCCTGCAGGCTGCAAGGACTGACTTATATTCAGACAGCAAGTGTGGGAGAGCCAGACTGCCAAGCCTGGTAGACACAGCAAAGCTGACAAGTTCAGGTCACCACTTATTGAATCATTGATTGCGCAATGGGTCCAGAGTCTCATCTGTAGAATGGAGCTGAAAATTCCTGCCTCGTGTAACTTCACATGTACCCAGATTTGGCATAAAAGACATTATGAATATTATTTTATCTCTTTCTTCCTGCCTTTCCTTACAGAGATAACTAATGGTAAACATGAAAAACATGGTATATACATTGTCATTATTATTATTATTGAAAGTCGTCATGGAGTTCATATTCATGCTCCGCAACTCCCCATTTCTTGTAAATTTTCGTCAGTGACAAATAGTGTGGAGGACAGAAGTAAATAATGTGTCAATCATTGGCAGAATGGCACTTAGAAGTAACACCCTCACTCTAAAATTGTCAGCCAACTGTAAGGAAGACAGATGAAACTTCCATGGAGTCTGAATGTGTTATCGACTCTTGAAGTATTTATTTCTAGGAAAGGAAAGCTAGCGAAGCCACAAGCTTGCTGTGTTAGGGCTCAGCCAGTGGTTCAACTGTCGGTTAGTAAGCTGTATGCACCACCAATGATTTCAGTTTGCGTGAGCTTCTCTGACAAATGAGAAAAAATGATTGAACGTGCAGAGATTGTGGAATGTTGGGTCATTTGGATTATCTAGCTTCCGTAAGCACACAAGCTACCCAAAGAGGCGATCGCTTCCCCACCTTCCAGTGAAAACACCACATAAGCTAAGAGTCGGCAGGACCCTCATAAGGTGAGCTGGCACTCACATCATTCTGGAACAGACCAGCTCCATGGCACAGGTAGTACATTGTTGGTACTGCTAGTTCCCCATTGGCTTTCCCTTCATACTTTATTTTCTATCTGGCAGTTTGGTTCACAGTATAGCTGTTGAGTGTACCCTAAAACATTTGAGAGCAACTGTGGTTAAAATAGTAGCATGAACAGTTGCTTGGAACCAGATTTTTACCCAGCTGCTGCAGTACACACAGATCTCGTTGCTGTGAACATCTAATTTGAAATGTATCTGGTATGTTCTCCGCTTTGACACTAGCTGCACTGCTACATTTTAGCAAAAAAAAATATTATCTTTTGAATAGGTGTAGAACATGCACACACACACACACACACACACACACACACACACACACAGACACACAGAGCTATGTGGGATATCTCATAATTAACAATTCTAAAAGAAGTTGAATTTACAAATATGCCCTATTGTAATTAAACTTCTCCCATGCATGCCACCTCTAGGATCATAGGGGCCCAAGCCCACGCCAGGATTACCTCACAGATTCTTGTACACTGTCTCATTTTAACTTACAAATGACTAACAGACGGTGCTCAATTTTCTTTAAAATTCATCAGGCAGGACTAAAACAAATCTTCATTCTCATATCTGTACCTCTAAGGATGCACAATGCAGCAGTATCTCAGATTCTCATGCTGCCATCCCAACAAGTGGTGGTCCACCTCTGCATGCATCTTCCAGTGGCAAAGCCCCTAGTACACCCTCACCAGGTCCTTCTCTCTGTCTTTTTATAGTTCTATTATTATTGGATCATTCATTTTTATACCATTGAAATTGCCAATCAACCAAATTAACTTTTTTTTTCTGCTTGGTGACTTCTAGGCAAATGTTCTACCACTGAACTACATCCTCAGACCTTGGAGAGTTTTAGTTTTTTGCTTTTTGTTTTTTGTTTGTTTGTTTGTTTGTTTGTTTGTTTGGAGAGAGGGTTGTCTGTGTAGCTCATCATGGCTTTGAACACCCAGTCCTCCTTTTGTCTTTACTACCTCAGTGCTGAGATTATAGTCATGTGCCCATGCTGGGCCCTCACAACCACTTTAATCTGTTGTATCCACACATGCAGAGAAATGCCTAAATCCCACATGATGCTATATGCCTCTGATCTTAGCACTTGAGAGAGTGTGGGGTAGAAGGATCAAAAATAAAGATCTCAGGCTGCAGTATACTTCATGAGTAGCCATTCCCAGTGATGGATTTCCACAAGACAGCTGTGGATATGAGCAACATGGAGTTCACAGCTCACATAGATTAATTATTTATGCAAAAGTCATTTTTAAGTTAAATGCTTTGAAATTCTTGGCACATTTTTATGTATTTACTTTGTCGGGTGGAGGCCGGGGAGGGCATCTGCAGCTTGCCACAGCTCTCATGTGGAGTTCAGAAGACAATGTGCAGACACAGGCTTTCTCCTTCCACCATAGGGGCCTTAGAAGCTGAGCTGGCAGGCAGGCTTGGCTGAAAGGGTCTTTACCTGCTGCGTTCTCTCTCCAGTCTTCAAGTGAGATGTTTTGATTATGCTTTCCTGATGTTATTTCATTAAAATTTCATCAAGGAGAGATTTTTTTCCCCCTCAGTTACTACTTAACAAGAATTGCAACAAAACTGTAAGGAGACGATTTCAAAGGGTCTAAAAATATCATTTCAATACATTTCTAGCCCCCATGTTCCATTTTTCCCCATGTTCCTTTACACTAAACGTCGATGGCTGATATCATTTTCAAAGCCATTTCAGCTACTTTATTAAAATATTTGATTCATTTAGATGATAAAATATTCTAGTTAAGGCTCTTAAACTAGAAGAAAGAAAAATTCAACATTTCTCTGATGTTGAAGAAAAAGCAATTACATGTGGGCTGAATTCTTCTTCGGTGCATAATAAGTGTGGGGGTGGGGCTGACGTCAGCAAAGTGCACGTGAAGCAAATATTGCCAGACCTCACTCCGTCACTTAGACAACAGCAATTGTGTGTTCTAAGTAAGGCGTTATAGTTCCCACAAAATGGATCAAGGAAAGGAAACAACATAACGTTACCCTTATTTAATGCAAAACTCTGACTCACATTTCCTGCGTCTTATCTTGACTCCTGTCCTAAAAGTTAGAACATGGCCTCCTTGACCTCCACAAAGACATTTTAAGAATCATGCTTTCTTTCCGCAGTCGTAATCACAACATGATCCTTACTGCACATTCATAAATCCTGATGACACCACCCAAAGTGCAGTGGCCCCTTCTTGCCCAGGTTAGGGTGCCTTGGGGAAACAGTTAAAGGAGGAGCTTAGAAGATAGCTCAGTCGGTGGAATGCTTGCTTTGCAAACACGGGAACCTGAGTTCGAGCCACAGAACCTAGGGGAAAAAACTGGACATGATGGTGCATGGTATAGACATACCACAGAGGAAGCAAATGCAGGAGGATGTCCAGAGCTTACTGACCCGCCAGCCTAGCCTCTTCAGTGAGTTTCAGGCCAGTGAGAGGTTTTCTTCACGCAACAAGATGGATGAAGCCTTGCTGCGTGCACGGCACAAACACACATGAAAAAATTAATATATTCCCGCTTTTCCTGATACTCCAAGATTTTGATATGGTAATAAATGTCAGACATCATAAAAACAGTTGTAATGGGAACTGCTCCTACTTGAGAATATACAGTTGAAAATGAGGAATATGACACAAATGTGGTGTTTATAAGGAAAAAAATGCTGTCTAAGAATTGGTGTCTTTTTATTTTGATAAGTCCCTTGGGTACTTTCTATTATAAACTAAAATGATCATTAATTATCCTCCTTAAAAACACAAGTTCTTAAATAGTAACAACATAAACATTATTTTCCTGCAGATCTGTATTTAAGGACAACCAGGGAAACGTGGACAGAGACTCAAGATTTTCTCCATTGTATAGACAAGAAAGTAGCAAGATTTCAGCTGAGGACCTGCTTAAACTGGTATCAGACTACAGACGGTAGGATATTCTGGATGCCCCTTTATGTAATCAACACATTGTTTTTCTCTCTCCATAACACCTGAGGCTCTGAGGCCCAACTGTCCAGACACCTCCAGAAACAGATGGCTGTCTAGAGTCAGTTTGCCAGAATCGTACTGAAGATTTCTCACATGTTGGGCTATATCATTCATCTATAGCTGTGTGACAACCCACCCCCAAAATTCAGTATCTGGAACAGCATTGTTTATGGTACTCCTGATTCTTTAGTGTCATTTTGTTTCTTCCACACATGATATTGGCTGGCAGAGGACAGTTGGGACTGGAGAATCCATTTCTTCCCCACAGGAGCCTCTTTGTGAGATATGTAGATGACCTTACTATATTATTTATCTTACACAATTAGCCTCTAATACACAAAGTGTTCTTGTACTCCTTAGCCTTGAATAATGGTTCTGTTTCTCATGTCCAAGAATCAACAGTCTCTTATCAACTAATTTTACATATCCCTCAAAAATATGAAGATATGTTTAAACAAGCATGGCCAATATCTTCTGCAGCATCAGTGAATTATTTGCAGCTATTTAAATAGAAGGAATAGTTTATCAAATCTATCTAATAGTCACCATTATGGAAGGTTTTAGAACATACGATTAGGAGGAGAAGTAGACTCTTAGGCAAGACCCTGTACCTAACTTAATCCTTTGTAGTCCAGGCAGAGTACTGGTAACGTAAGAGACCTGTCTTCCCTTCACTCATCAAACATCCTGGTCAAATCCTACACCCAGGTCTTCACAAAGCCCCTCAAGCCACCATGAGAAAATAAAAAGGGCTTTTCTTTTTGCCTTCTTGACAATCTAAGACTTGAAGAGCTATAATGATGAGCAGAATGGAACATGCAAAGATTTCGGGATAAACTGATACAATAAGCCTCCTGTTGTCAGTGAATACAGAGAAACTGTAAATGGCATGTGAGGGGCACCTACAATACATAGTGCAGGACTGACATTAAATTAGGACTGATTTCTCCTGGTGACCAATTTCTATAGCATAAATTAATTTGTCATTGCTGACTTCAAGCCACCAATGTGGTTCACTGAACACAGAGCTGGGAACAGAGGTAAACAACCTTGGGGATCCAATAATTTTATGGGGTGTGTATGAGTTATTTTTCCAACTGCTTCCTGGTAAGAGCAACTTAAGAGAAGAGGGTTCACTTTGGCTTATGCTCTCAGAGGATATGGTGCTTTGTGGCGCCGAAGACGTAGTGACAGGAACACAGTCGGCTGGTGACATTGCATCTGCAGTCAGGAAGTGGAGAGTGAATAGGGAATGGAGCTGAGCTGTAAAACTCTAATGCCAGCCCCAGTGACCGACTTCCTCCAGCAAGACTCTACCTCCTAAAGGTCCTTCAACCTTCAAAGAATGCCACCAGCTGGAAGCAGGGAAGGAAACAGAACTCCAGAGTCAAAGACTGAATGTGCATAATAATAGGAGAGTGAGAAGAGCATGTAGAGGTAGTCAGTTCTTTGTTATTAAAGAAGGAAAAAAATTCAAACTCTTAGCAATTATAGCAAAAACTTTTGTTCTCAAAAATTCTTAAAACTCACTTTGACAGTCAAATGCTTAAGCAATTTCAAATGAGTCTTATTGACAAGACCATATAATTTATATTCATCTGGCTGCATGTATAAGTGAAGTCAGAGAGAATAAATTTAAGGTATTTTTCGGGATATATGTAACTTGACTCCTTCATAATTTTTGTTTTCATTTATAGTAACATATTTTATAGGAATTAAACTAACCAAGTAAAAACAATCAATACACCACTTTTTGCTGTCTATTCTTTACACTTCTCAAAGCTCAGAATTATAGTACAAGATGGGGCTTTCTTTGAAAATCAAAATAATACAGTGTGTGTGTGTGTGTGTGTGTGTGTGTGTGTGTGTGTGTGTGTGTGTGTGTGTGTGTGTGTGTGTGATGTCCTTTCACAGAGCTGACCGGACAGGCAAAATGCAGACCATCCCTGGAAGCCTGGACATTGTTGTGGACAACATTCCCTTGGAGCAGCCAAGTATGATGCCGATGTCACTGATGTCACAGTTCATTTAGAGACTTCTGAGTATCTTGTGGGAGATTGTTTGGATGTTTGGTTGGTTCTTCAGTTAACTGGTTGATCCCAAGATTTGGGTTGTTTGGGGATTTAGTCTTCCAAAATGGAAAGGAATTCATTATACTATAGGAATATGGGACTTACTTGTCTGTTGAGACAGACAATGAAGTCATAACGAAAACAGTATCCTGGATAGCTTAACCTTCATCTATTATCCAAATATGGGTATAATATCCAGCAAGATATTAAGTTATTCACATAATCCTTTAAACCCCGGGGTGTTATGAGGAAAGTCAGACTCAAGTAAATAAATAACCAATAGTGAAAGAATTCAGATTCTATCTAGTTTCCCTGACTCAAGTATAGACTGGTTCTGCCATACCTCACTGACAACAAATTGCTTTGAGCACTGGCCACAGCCACCTAAGCGACTAAAATGTCATTATATAGACTGTCTATCTTATTTGGAACATGGTAAAACTCCTGCTTTTACTGACCTAAAAATGAACATTTCAGAATACAGAATCAAGTTTTTGTATAATAAACAACTGGGTAGAGACTACAGACAGGGAATATTAGGATGGCCGTCTATCCTGATAAGTTTCCACAAATCATTTTAATATAAACTATAACGAGAATTCTAACTTGAGTTCTGACTCAAAATCATTTTCACATTGAATGATGGGAAACAGCAGAGGAGAAATTTAGCCATTTTCTCTACTTGATTTAGGGAATAAGGCTTTATTACCTACAGAAAGGACAACAGAATAGAAAGCTAAATACTCTCCTTGAAAGAAGGGTAGAGTAATAGAGAAATTTGAGAACATAATGAAAATATTATAATCAATACCTGATGAAATATTAGAACTGTCATCGGATTCCCGAGTATGTATAGCCCATCGCTTTGTTTTATCTGAGTCCAGGAAGGTCCTTTGTAGAAACAAAATCAGCGGGGCTTTTTCCCTTTCAACATGAAAGCTCCCCTCTTCAAACAGTGTAATGACAGAAGTTTTGACATATACATTCTTAACCATCTTTTCTTATGTTTTCTCGGGCTATTTTTTCCTTAGGCTAACTGCAAAGTTAGATTTTTTAAAGGTGGTAAAAATGTAAGAGAAAGAAAAGCAACAAACAGTATACAGAGGGCTTTAGGCACTTGCCATAAAAATCATTCCATAGATGAAGAATTACTACTAATTCATCTGTCACTATCACTAATAGACCCACTGAATAACTTCATTCTGCTATGCAATAATACATGTATTTTATTTGTAATAGCAAGTGACTGTCAGTGGGTTACACCTTATCTTATAAAAATCTACCTAGAATAGTCTATATATAGAAAACATTATGAAAATTATAAATTCAGGGTCTGGAGAGGTGGCTCAGAAGTTAAGAGAACTGGCTGCTCTTCCAGAGGTCCTGAGTTCAATTCCCAGCAACCATGTGGTGGCTCACAACCATCTGTAATGAGATCTGGTGCCCTCTTCTGGTGTGCAGGCATACGTAGAGGCAGAATGTTGTATACATAATAAATAATCTTTTTTTAAAAATATATAAATCCGCCGGGCGGTGGTGGCGCACGCCTTTAATCCCAGCACTCGGGAGGCAGAGGTAGGCGGATCTCTGTGAGTTCGAGGCCAGCCTGGGCTACTAAGTGAGTTCCAGGAAAGGCACAAAGCTACACAGAGAAACCCTGTCTCGAAAAACCAAAATATATATATATATATATAGAGGCCAGCCTGGGCTACTAAGTGAGTTCCAGGAAAGGCACAAAGCTACACAGAGAAACCCTGTCTCGAAAAACCAAAATATATATATATATATATATATATATATATATATATATATATATATATATATCCATCTCAAAGATTTGCCATGGTTCTTAGCCATGACTTTTAATACTAAATATATAACTTTCTCATGCCCAATGCCCCCTTCTCACATTTTCATGCTCTTGCTACACAATAGCAAATTTCCATTTTAAATAGATTCGTGTTAAGATATGTTAAGTGTTGTTCACTGTAGAAGACCCATATGAAATGACAAACTCTTATTTTCTGATTTTTTAAGACTGTGTAACATCGTCCTTTATCCCTGTCAAGCCTTTCAACGTGATGGCTCAGTCAGAACCTACAGTGGAGGTGGAAGAATTGATTTATGACTCAACAAAGCATTGCCGACCATACAGAGTGTACAAAAATCAAATTTATGTCTACCCCAAACATCTCAAGTACGATAGCCAGAAATGCTTCAACAAGGTAACTTCTCAGTTCACTGTATATAGATCACACAAGATGGTTCTTGAAAGGGCAACTTGAAATAACTATGAGCCAAGACTTAGAGGAAATGCTTAGCCAAGGGTGGGTACATCCTAGAATTTACTTTAGGATTATTTAAAGATGAATGCATTTTCAGGACCTTGAAGTGTTGCAGAAGAGTTATCTTATAGTTGTTAATCTCTGAATTGCTTGAAGATGCATGGTTGTGTAATATATTAATAATCTTTTCTAAAATCAGCCTGACATAAATTTAATCTAGATCAGTTTTTTGGTTCTTATAATGCTCTGAAAAGAGCATGCTTAGTTCTATACTGTGAGCTTTTTTTGCTGTTGTTTCCTTTAAAATCTCTCCAAATCCTGCAGCTTCTGAGGACCAAGACAATGGTGGTTATTCTACATTTTTTTTCATATTTAATTAGAAGCTACTTATTTTAGGCCCTTACATTGTTTGGGATGTTAATTTAAGAGGAAATTATCATATCCATTTTCCCCCACACTATAATTTCAGGCACGAAATATAACTGTGTGCATTGAATTCAAAAATTCTGATGAAGATGGTTCCAAGGCCGTGAAGGTGAGTCGAGTCACTTGGGGACACGCATGAGAGGGAAGGCAGGCACCTCGGTCCTTTGTATCACTGGGGAATTTTTATATGAGTATGGTTAAATGAGGAGCAATTTCAGGCATTTGTTTTAGATTTCCTGAAAATGTATATGACTTAACCGCCATCACTAACCCCATCTATCAGAAATGCTAGTCTCCCACAGCTCTTCACTTCAGGATTTGGAAAAAGGGAACTCATTATAGTGTGAAATAAATACAGTAGTACCCTGTGAAGAATCTGCCCTGTGCACAAATTAAGTCCACCTCTTGACTCATCATGCGTGATTTGTAGCAGTACATCCAGCCTGCCTTCATGCTGTCCCCATAGAGAGGCTACTATACACAGGCCTATTGGTTAATGCAGGATGTCCCTAGAGAGCTCGTATTTATGAACAGGATAGTTGGTTAATGCAAGGTACCTCCATAGAGCTCACATTTATGGAGCCAACTGCCCTAGGGACTAGAAAATGACTCTAAAAAGACAGCCCACATTGTTGATCACATGAGTTAATAGTATCATTATTTTGACCTATAAAACTGGATTGCCTTTTCTAGAGTTCATATATGATATGCACTATTTTTAAGGTTATCAAATAACAAAAAAAGCCTATAAAAATAAAGAGGAAAGCTATTTTTACTAAGCCTATGGTCAAATCTTCTAGGTTGCAGTGAATCAGAGTGAAGAGGTAGTTAAGAACCAAGATAATGTCTAACTAATCCTACCATTGCCCCAGGCTGTTTCTCATGATACCATCAAGTATCAACTGTACTCTGATTTATGATAGCAGGAAATTTTTAGTCTTATTTCAAAGAGTGGGGATGAACTTAAGAATGAGCTAACTCATGTAGGGTAGAGAGGCATTCTTCAAGATAATCTTGAGCCACTGTGAGCATCCATACAGACCGAGCTTTTCACAGCATTAGTATCAGGAAAGGAAAATTAGCAGGAGATATCATTGTTAAGCAATGCAATGACTAGGTAAGAAACCCAACGGGTCTGCCAAAGCAGTGCTTGTAATGGGGATGAACTAGGAAAGAAGGGCAGCAGCAGGTTTGTAGGCTCCCTGTCATTGCATTATTGACGTCATACAGAGACGTAGCATGACCAGACCTAAGACTAGAAGAGAGGTCCAGAGCTCCAGGCATATGTGCCCTTCACCTGTGTGATTCACGAAAGCCTATTCCAGTCCTCTGACCCAATTAGAGGTTAGGATACAACATCAAAAGCTGGGTCTGTCCTGCTACCTCCACTGTCATGAGTCGGAATTGGTTTGCATGGAACTGGGGTCCAGCCAAGCCTGAGGACCTTAACTCTCTCAGGAAGGCATCCTTTAGGGATCTGTCTTGAACCATTAACTCATATTCATGGCGATCAAAAGTCATCTAGTGAGTTGGTTCAGTCTTCAACCCTCGTGCCATACCTACAAGATGAATAAAGACTTTTAGATGCCCTTTGATGTCCCGTTGCATAGTACACACAGAACATTATATCAACGAAGTTCAAAGTTAACTAGATGTCATCCTGGGATGTCCATCACAAAGTGTGCTGGTATTGGTACTGGAATTGGAAACTGAAGAATTGACTTTTTCTCACTTGAGAATATTCTCAGGCACTCACAATTGTTTCCCTCATAACTTTCTAAACAGTGTATTTATGGAAAACCTGGAGGGCCGCTCTTCACTTCAGCTGCCTACACAGCTGTTCTGCACCATTCTCAAAATCCAGATTTCTCTGATGAGGTAAGGACCAGGCCTCCACAGCCTCTACCTGTAACTCATGGGTGAGTAAGTCAGAGAAACCTTGTCTAGACCACATCTCAGATTGAGGACAGTAGTGTACCCACCCCAAGACTCTAAAGTGACACTGACTGATGTGACGCTGGCTGATGATAATCCTGGTGTATGTTGCAAATTCCTGCAGCTGAGCACAAGACTGACCTTCAAAAAAAAAAAAAAAAGATGGTTCTGTTTTATCATTCTTTTCCAATGAGACTGTTTTTCCTCATTTATTTTATGGGTGATTTTAATAAAGATTATATTAGATAACTTTACCAATCAGTGGCAGCATATCATATCATTTTATAGCAGGAAGACCAGATGTTATGAATCAACACTATTGCTATTACCTGCATGAACTTCATTGGGCTCCATCCCCTCATCTCATGGTTAGAAGTGTGACTTGCTCTGGAAAATTCAACACTCTTACTGTGCACCAAGCATATAGACATCATCTCACTTAACTTCTCCAAAGCTTGGAAAATCCGGCACTGTTACCACCTCCTGTTATATAGACTAGGGCACTGGCTCAAGCAACTTTGTCAGGGTCATATAACTACTAAGTGACAGTCAGCATTCAAACCAGGCCATATTACTCTAGATAGAAGTTTCCCCGCTTCCTATAACTCATAAGAAATACCACTAGGCTCGTGGTAAAGTGCTGCTCACATATTAGCTCTTTTATAAACAGCCTGAGACAAGTTTCAGTGATTAAACCCAGCTTCTAACCATAAGACAAAGCTCTAAACTATGAAAACCAGCTAGGATTTTATATGAGTTACTCTATTGATGCTATAACAAATTCGCACCCTTCAGTTGCTCAAAACAATACACATCATTTACAGCTCTGGTGGTCAGGGGTCTGAACTGGCTGTCATGTGGCTGAAATAACCGTGTCAGTGAGGCCAGTATGTCTCCAGAAATTTCCAAAGGAAGATCTGTTTCCTTACCTCTTGCAGCCTCTAAACACCACCTCGTACCTTGGATTGTGACTCCTCTCCTGCCTACCTTTTATAAGAACTATGGTGGGACTGGAAATGTAGCTCAGCTGATGAAGTGTTCACCCAGCATACATTAAGTCCTGGGTCCTGTTCCTAGCACCCCATACAACTGGGTGTGATGATCACAGCCCTTGGGAAGCAGAGGTAGGAGGATCATAAATTTAAGATAATCCTTTGCAATCTAGACAGTTTGAGGGCAGCATGAGGTACACGGGATCCTTTTTTAAAAGGAAGGAGAAGAAAGGGAAGGAGGAATGGAGGGATGAAGAAAGGAAGGAAAGGCTCATAGTGACCACATTGTACCCACTTGTAATACCTGATATAACCCCAAGGTCCTCACCTTAATCACATCTTTGAAGTCCCTTTTGTCTCGCACAGTCATATATTCATGGGGTCTGGGTTTTAGAACACAGAGTCACCTTTGGGAGCCATTCTCTGTCTGACACCCCAGGTTACACATTTGTCATTTTCAAACTAATTAACAAAATCCCCCATCTAACCTCCTACTTCCTTATCTACTTAATTCTCTTATTTTCCTCCATCAATCCAGATAAGAAGATTTAAAAAAAGAAAACAAAAAGCTAAGGGAAAGAGTTATTATCATATTACAGAATATTTACCATATTGATTGACTTTTTGACAAAACAGGTGTGAAAGATGCATTTTCTGTAGATGTAAGAATTTCATAAATTAATGTTCTCAGAGTCTCAGTGCTGTTAAGTCTGGCTTTTAATCTTTTTCATTTTCTCATATTTCCTGGAATCTCATAAAACCTATGAGCTTTTCCACATGGCATGTAGATTATCAATCACTTAGTGGCCTTTGCAGCACAGATTTAATACTAAGGTTTTATTTCCTTGATTGTAGGAAAAATGATGGCATTATCTTTAAAATAGGTATAAATTATCCAATGCATCGTTACAATAAAATGTAACTATTTACAAGATTTTTTAAGTGAGGGATTGTGAAGACTAGTTTTATGTCAACTTGGCACAAGCTAGAGCCATTTTAGAAGAGCGACCCTCAATTGACAAAATGCCCCCGCCAGATTTACCTGTGGGAAAGTCTATGGTACATTTTTTTTTTTTTTATTGTTGAATGATGTGGGAGAAGCCAGATCACTGTGGGCAGGGCTTCTCCTGAGCTGGTGGTCCTGGGTTCCATAAGAAAGCAGTCTGAACAAGCCAGGAAGAGCAAGCCAGCAAACAGAACTACTCTGTGGCTTCTGCTTCAGTTCCTTACCATTTAGTTAACTGAAATTCTTGAATACTTGGTGCATTGCTACATAATCTTGAAGTTGGCTCAGAAGAAATTTTCTAGTGTTCTGCTTATTATTAGGGATTTTGAAATGTGTATAGGCTTTTGTAACCAGGTTAGTACACTGTTATATAAATAATATATCGGCGTGCAACTCATCAAAATCCAGGGATCCTCAAAATTCTTAGGGATCCTCATACATCAGAATTATCTGGAAGACTGATTGAAGCAGAATACTCAGATTTGGGTATTCAGCGTGTCTCAGTTAGGCCTAAGATTTCATGGTTCCAGGCGACACCGATGCTACCATTGCAGGGACCACACTGTGAAATCTCTAGTCCTAAATCCTTCCTTAAACAGAATGAAAATAAACCAGCCAGATGCACAGGACAGCTAATTAATAATCTATGGGTTTTAGTTATTGCTCAACTTGACTATTCCCAGAACTAGTGACTCACATAAAGCTAAGTGCATGATACCTGGACAGGCTCCTGGAATCCTGGTATACAGGGGTCATCAGAAGATGTAGGACTGTCTTGGAAACCACCTATTACTAACTCTACCATCTCTTACTCACCCAGAGCCCCCAATATCTCTGGCCTTGAGTCTCACCTCAGTAGTGTCCGCTTCATAAGACAATGGGGAAATTAAATGCATGTGACAGAACTTTAAAACCTAATCCAAAAGGTGCTATAAACTGTAGGTGGTTATTTCAAACCCTTTCTTTCCAGAAATATGGAATAACCCATGTAGTTATGTTTGTGTTTAATCAGAGGCATCATTAATAACCCTTCAGTACAGCTTCATCAAGTGACTCATTACTTGCTACGACAAAAGTCATCTCATATGTGTGTGTGTTGTATTGTAGAGAGATGGAGGCCAGGCTTCCAGTTACCTTGTTTACAGTCACAGTTCTCGATGATGTATACATGAATTGCCTGGGTATATTATTAAGATGCAGATTCAGATTCTGAGCAGTGTCTGAGATTCTGAATGGCTAACACATGTTCATTTACTACCCATGCCCATGACCATGCTCTGGAGGCTAGGACTTACAGTTTACACAGTTTATGGTAGTTCTTAATGTTTGTCTTCCTTACATTCTGTAGTTCTGTTAGTGAGTGTGTGGCTTTGAATATGTATATTTAATGCATACTCTAGAAACATAAATCATGTAATGAGAGATGCTACATAATCTAAGTTATCATCTACCACTTAAGATGTAAAAATAACATATTAATACATTACAGCCAGCAGATTGAATATTTGTTGAGTATTAAATCATTTTTGACTAAGCATGGACTTAAAATTCACTCTTGTTGCTGACGTGAAGCAAATGATTTTAATCTCAATCCAAATGTGATATCTTTCATTGCAGGTGAAAATTGAGCTACCAACACAACTTCATGAAAAACACCATCTTTTATTTTCTTTTTATCACATCACATGTGACATCAATGCCAAAGCTAACGCCAAAAAGAAAGAGGCTCTGGAGACTTCAGGTACTTACAAGAAGTGACCTGAAATAGGTCAATGTGTTTAACTAGAGTTGGAGAACATTTTAAAAAGATACAATTTATTGATTTTTAAATGAAATCAATGTTTATAGTGACAAATGGTATATTTGTGCTTCTTAGCATAGAGGTTTGCGTTCAAAACTTTCTACGTGTTGTCTCCTTGCAGTGGGATATGCTTGGCTTCCTCTGGTGAAACATGATCAAATAGCTTCTCAGGAGTATAATATCCCAATAACAACCACCCTGCCTCCAAATTATTTAAGCATTCAAGATTCTGCAAGTGGAAAGGTATTGTATAGTGTATAATTTACAAGAAACTTTTAAAAAATCAGCTATGAAACAAGGCTATCTTTTTTCTCTACTATTTAAACTAGCATGATAGTGTGCCTGTCCATTGCAATTATGAACTTAACCTACAATAATCCAACTCTTACTTTATTTGTGACCATTAAAAGAATGACTCTTGAAAGTATGTCAGGCTCATCTCCAAAACTTCCAAATGAATCTTCACATTTTTCCTGTCTCTAGAGCAATGTGGGAGTAACAGTTCAGAACAGCAAATTAACATAAACTAAGTGACTTGATTCTCTTATCTCATATTGTCGGTGATGGCAGCAAACTCTTTCTTGCAGCATGGAGGAAGCGACATTAAATGGGTCGATGGTGGCAAACCACTTTTCAAAGTGTCAACATTTGTTGTATCAACAGTGAACACTCAGGTGAGTGTCATGTTTTAAAGTGGAGACCTAGACTATGATATAATATGATGGTGGCTCCTGCATGTATAGGAGAAACGTATCATTTCGTGAGTTGTTGAATGGGCAGCTGGCTGAACTTGCCAAGAAAGATAACGTGTAATTTTACACCTCTTTCAAGACAGACAAAGTGCCCTCACTCCTTAAGCAATACAACTTGAGGCCAAAATGCAGAAGTGTATTTAGCATATGAATGTCTACTCATAGTATGATTTCCTCATACTTACAACTCCCAGATTTAGAACCTGTTCAGTGGTAAAAACAAATACATTTGACATTTACCCCGAAACTAAGCCTAATCCCCGTGCCTACCATGACCATGAGATAGACAGGACTTCAGTGGAGAGTCACTTTGACCAGTTCCTGGCTTGATGACTGAACAAGTTACTTTGGCCTCTTTGGTTCTCAAATCTTCATCAGGAAAATGGTATACATAAAATATCACTACTTAAGCTTGTGATGAATACCAAAGTAAGAAAATTCATGTGAAGGTAATAGTAATTCATGAGCTATCACATGCTATCTATACACACGTAACTGATAAACTGTAAGCTTACTCTTTCTGCTGTGAGGCAGCTTTTTTGTTTTGTACTGTTTTATCTCAACCTCATATTTGGCTCCTAAGAATAATTAAATAATCCAGGTTCCATGTAGAGATAAGCACAGAGATAACACAGATAAAGATTCACAGATATGATTTTAAAATTAATAAAGTTCGGTGTTTCAAAGAAACTTCCATCCTCATCCCCAGTCCTGGATCCCACAGCTGATTAAACCCACCTCATCTTGTTTTCCAAAGGTCCAAGGCTCTTGTCTCCCATACTCTGACTTCCAACCCATACTGCATTCCTTTAACTTCTCCAAGACGTTTTTGGTACCTTCCCTTCCTCAGCCAGGGAGAAAAGCACCTGCCCCCTCTCTCTGCCTTTTGCTCATCAATCTGATCAATTCACCCTGATCGTTCAGATCTGAGGTCAACTGTTACCTCACGTCTCCTAAGTCTTACTGGTTCCCTGAGCCTATAGACAATGCTGGGCTGTCTTGTAACCTGCTCAGATGGCATCTTGCTTTTATTGTGAAGCACTTCTCAAGCTGTGAATAAATAGGTACATGTGGAAGCTGTGGTATGGTGCTGGTCATGTTGTCATGATGGACAGCCCACAGCTGATGTGATCATGTCTGCCCTGCCTTTCTTCTGTCAAAAAGACCTACCAGGGGCCTGACACACAGTCAGCTTTCACTAAATAATGGCTAACTTGACAAATATATGCAGACATATCTAGGAGGAAAACACTGTCACTAGTTAAGAAATAAACTGCAAATAGGAAACAGAAATATCACATACTCAAATACCAGTATGAGGAAAATCCATGCCGGATGCCCATGTAGTATGTACTGCAAGAGAAACATCAGAAATATATCTCAAACTCAAATGTTCTTTCATTTCTTGACTATATAACTTAGCTCAGAACTTGGAGAAATTCCAAGCAGATTTCAACAGATCAAAACCAAGATTTCTTGGGGTTTATGTCACACTTTTTGTTGTGTCCTAATACCAGGCTGATACAGACACATCAAACCTGGAAATATTCCTAGGCATGTCAAAGACAGCACAGTGTCCTGTGGGTCATAGATGATGTAAGAGAGATTTATAAAGTTCTCTGGAATGTGGGCTGGAAAAATAAGGAACATTGGGGGGGAAAAGAAAGAGAGGGAGGGAGGGATGGAAGGAAGGATAAAAGGATGGAAGGAAAAAAGAGAAACAGGAAGGGAGGCAGGTAAGGAGGAAGAGAAGAAAGGAAAGAAAGGAAAAAGAGAGGGAGCCTGCCAGCCAGCCAACCAGCCAGACGGCCCGCCAACGGATGACATTCTCTAGCCAGGGCTATTTGGCCAAGAGGGATGGGAGAACTCTGAGTATGAAATATTTGAGAGATTGGGCATTGTCATCCAGAGTGCTGGAGTTCAGTTAGGGACCTTCAGGTGACCTCTCTGTCTACTGAAAGAAGGGGCTCTAAGTCTGATGTCGTGGGGAAACGCTGCTTAGAAGTGCTTGCCACCATCACTCAGTTTGTGTGCCACCACAGATAAACACTTCTTCTGCCTTTGCAGGACCCACATGTGAATGCATTTTTCCATCAGTGCCAAAAGAGAGAAAAAGACATGTCTCAGTCACCTACCTCGAGTTTTGTCCGTGCTTGTAAGGTAACAGGATGTGCAGATTTAGTGGTTTGTGGCGTAGAAACTGGCAAAGAAAACCTATTTCCCACTGAATAGCAAACTAAGAAGTGATGGTCACTGGGGACTTTAAAAGACTTTACAGTTTAGGGAGCAAATGAGTTTCACTTCATACTTTCTACATGGTTCTGTTCACATGAAAAGGAGAAAAGGCAAAGATCAGTTTTTTTTTTATCCTAAACAGAAATCATTGAAAATAAGAATGTATTTACCATTGCTAATTAAGCAGAGTCCTTTCAACATGACCTACACCTTCTGGCATAGTGACACAGGAAAGCGAATGACCAGATAAAAGGGGAGCCACGGTGATCACGTGATCACATCGTATTCCTAAAAACACCTGCAGATTGTGCTGGGCTACCTCCTCTCGTTTCTTTACATGTTTCTTCTCATCAACTCACTGCAGAACTTACTAAATGTGGACAAGATCCACTCGATCATCAGCTTCCTGCCTATCATCCTGAATCAGCTCTTCAAAATTCTAGTGCAGAATGAGGAAGAAGAAATCACTGCGACCGTCACCAGGTATCCATAGCAACCCTGGGGCAGGGGAAAGATTGTGCCACCCTTCCTCAGACAGAACCCTGATGATTGATTCTGACTAAATAGCCACATTTGTGTACATTTCGTGTGGACATGCTTTTCAGATTTAAGCATTTCTCACTCTCAAACCCTTGTTTTCAGATTCCTGACTATTATCATTAGTGGAACACTAGATTTTTTTTTCTTTTGTGCTTTTAACGTTTTATTTTGAGATAATTGGAGATTCATTAGAAGTTAAAAGGGGTAATATGGAGAGAATAAGTATACTCATTATTTAGTCTCCCCCACTCTCAATACACATACACACACACACACACACACACACACACACACACACACACACACACCTATCTGTGTATGTATGAAATTATACAGTATGCAATCATTAGCTTTTCCACTCATCACAATTCTCTGAAGATTCACCCAGGTTGTCCATCTATGACTAGGTCACTTCTTTTTATGGGTGAGTAGTATTCTATGGTATGGATTGTATCACAGTTTGTTTAAGGATTCATTTGTTGAAAGACATCTGAAATTTTCCTATTTGGGGTCTATAATGAACGCAGTCACTATAAATGTTTATATATAAATTCTAGGTCAGCATAACTCTAATGCCTGACTTCTGATGTGAATCCACAGTAGCGCAATGGCTGTACAATTCGTTGGCTGAATATTAGATATTTTTTTTTAGAAACTGCTAGAATGTTTACCAAAATAGTTGTATCATTTCATAGTCCCACAGAATTTTTTTAATTGCACTGTTTCCTTTCTTTTGTGTTAAATTTAGTCAAACCATACTCTTCCAACATCACTATTAAGTCTAGTCATAAACTTAGAATTCTGCATTTATATTATCTTGAATTAATAATTTAAACATATATTTGTTGTGTGTTTCAAAAATAGCCCTAGCATTAGGAAAAGATCACAGCTAGTATTGAAATATTGACTGTTTCTTCCTTGTTCATATTATTTATCTTTTCTACAATGAAGGCTTTTAGCTTTGTTTTTAACATAAAACCCCGAAGTTCTGGGAAATTAAAGTATGAGTATCAGTTCCACAAACATCCAGTTCTGGACCCAGATTAAAAATCTCAAATTGTGGCATCAACTAGCGTCCCTTTTAGCTGAGTATTATGTCGATGTTGAGAAGACTTTTAAATATTGCAGCTTACAGATCTGTTAGCTTCTGAGATCTCCCAAAGCTCTCCAGCCATGCAGCAACTGATCATGTTAATATGAAAAATATCAACATACCACTGCTACATGAAACCCTAGCCCAGCTAATGAGGGAAATATACAGCTTAACCTAATCTCTTTTTCCAAAAATAGGTCTTCTGCTCACTGGTTGAAAGGTGAGCCCTTTAAAATGGAACATGGGCACTAATCAGAGCCTAATTAGGTACTTAAAATTATCCCTTTTCCAGGAAGACAATGTCAGCAAGTGCAGAGACCACAAGTAGTGCATTCAGCTCGGAGGAAATGTCTCCAGTGTGACCTCATGCCCTAAGACCTTACTTACCTTACCTTACCTTACCTTACCTTACCTTACCTTACCTTACCTTACCTTACCTTACCTTACCTTACCTTACCTTACCTTAGTGGGTTCTTGGAATGCTTCTGTTTGGAAATTACTCCCAGGTGATAGAGATATGTCACGTGCCCTCTGTTGGGAGTGAGGAAGGCAAGAGAAGAGTGTGATTTGGCTGGTTCATTCATTCATTCATGAAATACCCCATTTTCCAAGTATTCTAAGACAGTAGAATCTTTATACCTTCAGCCAGGCCACTGAACATCCTTGCTTTTCCAGGGTTCTGGCTGACATTGTGGCCAAGTGTCATGAGGAGCAGCTAGACCATTCCGTCCAGTCATACATTAAGGTACGGAGTCGCCACTAGGGCACTGATCATGTGCCCTGTGCTGTGTGGCTTGTCTTGTTTCCTGTCGGCACTAAGAGGGAGGGTCTCACCCTGAAGTTGGATGGTGCCCACCATGGTCAGAACACAAGTTCACCTTAGAAGAATTCCATTTCTTTGCATTAATGAGCTACCTGTATTGTTTAAATGTAAAAGCACTGTGTGCATGTGTAAATGAATATCAATGTGGGAATGGTGGAAAGAAAAAGACAGAAAAGAAAGCTCAAGTGTTGCTCCTTTGAAGTTGACATTAGAAATATATAAAATTTCTATGCTAATTAAGAAAGACTTCTGCGGGTTTGTTGAATGCTCTGTGTTTCTTCTGTATTGTTTTCTTAGCTCTTTTTATTGTTTTCTCAGGCATTATTTCATTTTCCCAGTTACTGTATATTTGTACCTGCTTCTGGTATGTTAAGTCCTTTATCTTCTGGCATGAACCATTTGCCCATCTCATTGGTGTGCACTGCTTCCTCAGTGTCCCTTGTCAAGTGTCCACTTGGAGATGTCCTATTCTCATTTTCAATTGGCTGTGAATCGATGCCAATGAACTTGTGGTGATGTTTGCATTCTCATAGCTCTGCTCCAAATATCCTTTCATTGAAAGCAAAATACAAGCATCCTCAATTGCTTTATGATACATACAAAACTTACATTTCCATTTTGCATACACAGACTGGATCTTTGGAGATATTGCTTTTTAAAGGAAATATATTCAAGTCATATATAGGGATAAACATGTACATTCTAGATGTTTAGAAATGCAACTGGAGAAGAATTGGGGCCTTCTGTGATAGAAGCTTCTTTGTTTAACAATGATTAGTGTCATAGAAATGTTGCTACAAAAGGAAGTAGTTAAAAATCTCGTTCCGGAATGAACCACTCTGAGATTCCACGTGCATGGATTCCTATCTATGTATTTTCTATGAGAAGTGTTAGATGTCTTCCCCAAGTACCAAAGCATGAGTTGTGACCCTCCTTAAAAGAGCCTGCATTCTAGAATAGTCATTTCACAGCCCCTTCCTTAGAATATAATTGTACCTGCTAGGACCCTGACTTCAATTACCAAAAGCTAATTACACCCACAAATACCATGTAGTTTGCTCTGTGCTTAATAGAGGGGCATCACTTACTTTGCTAGTGGATTGATGAGTGTATTTGCTAATGTAATTATCTGGGAAGAGTTTATCTTCTCAATACTTACCCTTACTTTCTATTTCAATCCACAAAGAGACCAAATAGAATAAAATAATTCCTTGAATCATTGTACTTCATTCAGACAACACCATTTCAACTGTAGTATCAATTTCCTTGTTCTAATGGAGTTGTTTAAAAATATATTAAGAACTTCAGCTGTTGTGGCTACTTCTGTCATCACCAAGGCCAGCTCCTGTGAGAACCTCGGATGCTCAGACACTTACTCTGTGGTGCTCTTGGAAATGCATCTTGGAATAGGCTTTATTCTCACCCAGAAAATATGAAATATCTTGACAAGAGTGTCACATTCTGCAATACAGAAGAGAAGTGGTTTACCCTTTGTTCTAAAGTAGCTCAAATCCAGGGATATACTTTTGTGGAATTTCAGATTGACAATTCCTAAGGATATTTTAGAATTTATTTTGAAATAAACAAACACTTCCAAATAAGTACAACCAACTTGTGGATCAGTCTGGGAAAAAAAATCCCTAAACTAAGAAGTGAGAGACTTCAGTGTAAGCAGTGAAGTGCTCTGAGAAGTGAACCTCAGGAAACCTCAGCTGTCTCCTCTGATACAGAAGAGGAGACAGACTAGACGAGGACCCAGACATATGATTCTGTGATCAGACTCCTGCTAAGGTATATGGTTAACAGCCTGACCTTGAGCTAAGAGTTTGAAATTATTTTTACCAGAGGTGGAAGGGAAACATTTAACATATAGGTATATATTAAGTCCCACCCCTAGGAACATTGTAAGCAACTGATGGGCTGATTCCAAGACATGCTTGTATATCCTTGGGTGATGTTATAGTCATTGTAATTTGTATTTATCCACAAGTAAACAAAACACCATTTCAAGTTCAGTGGTACCAGCTGCTAACTCACTCCATCTACGGTATCAAAACTGCACACATACACTGTGTCTTTTTCAAAGATGTGTGTCTGCGTCAATCTAATTAAATGCTGCGCTTCACAGGGGTTTGTAGCACCAACAATTCTAAGAAGCAGGTTTGTAAGGTTAGACTAGTCCAGTGCTAGTTGAAACAAAATACCCTTCAGGCTAAATAAATGTGTAGGATTCAACAGTTGATGGTAAGTTTGTCTTCATAGGAAGTTCAATGCTCAGGGGAAACTAATTACCCTTAGCTGTAGCTGGTTATATGAGCCCATTAGCTTTCTGTCTTCCCTTTGAGATGAACTTCAAACCTGCTGAGGTCCTTCGAGGTCCAAAGAAAGGGTTAGAGATCCAAAAGTAAATGCACCAGTCTCCTGCCTGTCTTCCCTCTAAGTTGCAGTCTATTCTAAATTATGAATATCATGAAGACAATACCTTTCTTGAGGCAAACCCAACTCATAAACAAACTACTAAAATTCAATATGAAGCATTTAATGTCTTTGAAATATGTGTATTCATATGTATGTATTGATGTTCTTAAAATATATGAAGAAATAAAGAAGGTTATTACCAAGACAGTCCTTGGGGAGAAAAAAAAAGGAAAGTAAGCAGCGTTCATTATCTTACTGATGGCTGATGTTTATCAACCTCTTGATAGCTGTGTCTAGCATAGGTGATAAAACCTGGGCTTATGGGGCGCTCACCTCCTCACTTCTGGAAGGCACCTGCTTCCCCACTTGGCTATTTGAGTGGGCGCTCTACCCTTTCAGGATGAAGAATTGCTACCATGCCACCTGTTGCCAGTGGAAGGAAAGAGAAGGGGAGTGTGTCCTACGTAGGTGGGTCCAAGCCCTCCATGACTCCTTGAACCTGCTCAATGGCTCTCTGGCCCTTTCTCTTGATTTCTACAGAAAGAGTGCCAAGGAGAGCTTAGGTGAGCAAGGCCCTACTTCTGCAAAGACCCAAATAGGAGCAAGTGTGTCCTGCTCTTCCCATCAGTCCTACGCTGACTCCATGACTAAAGCTGACACAAGCAGCTGATTATGAGAAATGAGTTGTTTGTGTAGGGTAATCTTCGAAACCTTTTAAGAGTAATTAACTTTGTTCATTTATCTGGGTTTTCTTCAGTTTGTATTCAAGACCAGGTCCTACAAAGAGAGAACGATACATGAGGAACTGGCTAAAAATTTGAGTGATCTTTTGAAGTCAAATGATTCAACGATAGTCAAGCATGTCCTAAAGGTAATCCTCTTCATCACAGTGCATAAGTTGCTAGCAGTGGGTGCAGAATTTTATCGCTCGAAGGTGACAGGACTCACTGATTTTCACAAGTCATTTTCCTTCTAATTTCTGACATAAGTTTCATATCAAAACTTAATTATATCAAATTATCAATTAAAAGTGGGGTCTTCTATGTCAAGAAACAGAGAGAGGAGCAGGTTGCACCCAAGTTTAGTCCTTTGATCTAAAGGCAGAATGAATTACTATTAAAAATTGTCTGGAAATATTCACAAACAGTAAGTATAGCACAAAGCTTGTTCAGCTAGTTATAGTAGGAAAAAAATAGGAAAGAACTGTAATGGCATATTAATGAGCATATTGACAATAGAGGATAAGTGAGTGACAGCCAGTTTTCAATCTCAAGTTGAAACGTGTGCAGGGACATGAAAAAAGAGACAGTGAATAAACTATAAAATGATGTTGGAACCCTGAATTTAGATTCAAGCTTTTTGTCTATTGTGATTTGACAAATTCATCTGATTGGGTCCAACTGATTGCAAATATCTAGAAAGGCAATATGACATCATAAGCCATCAGCATAAGTTCACAAAAATCTGACTGACCAAGTAGTTTATTTTTAAGAAGCCTTCTGAGTATATTCATCGTATCTATTCAACTGATATATTTCAGGCACCTGCCTACCTTCAAGCAGTCAGACTCCTAGGCACTTGGAATGTATTAGAGAGGTGACTTAAGTTCCATGCCTTTGGGTGCTTACTGGGAGGAAAGAGCTAGGGATATAATTTAATCATAAATTATATGTTGATGGCAAGTCACATGGGAAAAGAAAGTGTGGAGCCGTTCAAAGAAATAAGCAACTCTACTAGGGTGGGCAGGTGACCTGATAGAGAAGGGGACACTTGAGGAAAAGGGAAGGGAGCTGGCCATGGGGATTTCAGGGTAGAACACTGCAGGTGTGGGAAAGGCCTTACCTATTCAATAAGGCTGTAGATAACTCTGAGTCTGAGAGCACCACTGTGGGCAAGGATGGGAGCGGTTAGATGAAGTCAGAGAAGCCATGAGCAGTCTGCCATGCCTGTGGACCACCATGAGAATGGAGAGAGTCTGTTGAATATGGAAACAAATGTTGGAACATTTGGTACAATGACTAAAGGTGCAGTTTGGGACAGGATAGGAGATGGAGGTAGTTGCAGTGTGCCTTGGATTCCTTAAACACTTTTGATAGTGTGGGTTTCAGTTTCACTATCAAGCAGACACTTTCATTTCTTCAGGGAAGTGATCCCTTCATTAAGCCACATCTGCTTCTTTAGAATGGACATCAGCCTCTCATCCCCTTCACCTAAGCCAATCTCTTGGACTTAAGGTGATGGTCCACAAGGGTTACCACAGCATTGTACTAGCCAGAAACTGGATGTGATTCAATTGCTCTGTGGTAGTACAGCAGAGAGATTCATGATGATTGAATATGTAGTGTGGTATTGCGATGTGACCCCATGCTAATGAGTCTCCATAATGAGACTCTAAACGAGGTTTGTTGAATTAAAAAGGTAGTCTCAGGAGAATAGGTAGAGAATAGCAATTTTTATTTGGTGTTCAGTGGTAGAAAAAGGGAAATACACTTTCAACGTGTAAGTATTGGTGGGAAAATGATTAACACATAGCAAAATGAGTACAAAATTAAGAGCCCAGTGATGAGCCTATCACAAAAGCTTTATTTTAGTTTTGTTAACTTAAGTGAAACAAATATTCATGAATAAATCTTTCATGAACAAATGCTCAAAAAGTCATCTCAAGTAAACTGTACACTTTTTAGCTTCAACTTTTTGATATTATTAAGGAGCTAATGTACGTAATAATGTATGATGTGAGCTATGACAAGTATAACTTTGATAAATGTCATCCTAAGGTAACAGAGAATGTGTTACTGCCCTGGTCCATTTACTTACTAATTTACTTTAAGATTTAAAAAAAGTAGTAATATTGTATTGTAAAGATCATAATCATCATTATTTTTACATAGATTAATAAATCTTTTATTGTCGTTTTCCCTTATAGCATTCTTGGTTCTTCTTTGCAATTATTCTAAAATCAATGGCACAGCACTTGATTGATACAAATAAAATTCAGGTAAGATCATAGGTAATATAGCAATGTAATATCATCCAACAATTACACTAATGAACATGTTCTCATTAGTTCCACTTTTATTGGCTGTGTAAAACCTTAACAATTTATGTTAATTGCTTTTTAAGTACAAGAACTGATCATGTATGTTAATAAAGGCCCATTCAGAAGCAGATGCTAAGACAAAATTACAATTGCAAAATCTATTGGAGAGAAGTAATTATAAAGGACAAATGGAAAAAAAAAGAGGTAGGCAGATCTGATACCTATGAGAGAAAATAGAGAAGGAAGGGGCGTTGGTTTAAATGAGCCTGGCACTGAAGAAGCTTTCAGCCTGGTCAGTGCATCATGTGAAAGCCGAGGATGCTCACTGGAGGAACTGTACACTGCACAGGTCCTGCTGGCAAGTCTCAGCCAGCTCCATCACTGAATGGAAAAAGCCTGAGATAATGCGTTTTTGCCATAAGTGATTGATTGGGTCTGGGATATAGCAGGTTTTTACATGTTTTATACTAGTTAAGGAAATATCTGGGCTTCTACAGTCCACAGTTATGATGGCACATTGCACACAGTTGTGAATCTGCTCCTTCACATCCCCCATCGCCTTCTCTTAGAAGAAGAGGGGTTGGTGGAATTAACTCTAGCTCCTATCACAGTCTCCTCAGAAGCTTACCTAAGCTCACCACCCCTTCTTCTACAATCCATTCCATGTCCTCTTACCCTAGCTCAGAGCTGGGAAAGTCTTGGTGACCCACCAGAGAGTGTGGCCCAGACCCTCCTTCCAGAGTGGTCTGAATCTCTGGCAACCCCATTTCTGTAGCCAAGGTCGCTGCATGTGATCTGTGATTACTCACAGAGTCAGGGAATGAGAACCAACCCATGAGCACCCAAGGGAATACCTTGAGTTCTCACACACCTCTCTCGGCCTCCATTTGGATAGAGCCAAGAGAGGAGCGCCAGTGTGCACCCCCACCTGGCATTACAACCACCACCAGAAGTAGATTCAGACAGTGTTGCAGTGGTGGGCACAGCAGATCAGTGACATTGTTCTGACTTGCCTTCCTGGTGGGGGACAGTCAATATCAGAACTCCCTCTGGCATCCTCACAAAGACAGCTCCAAACCATGGCCTCCATGTGCAATGTTTAATCCAAATGTTAGTTTCTTCTATATAAACTTCACATTTGGGACCAGGTAAATTACTTTGGGGTGGCTCTTTGACACCCCCATCCCATCCATCTAAATGTTATCAGAGCTTTAGTCAAGATTCCATCTTCAGTCCCTATAGGTCTGCACTCTTAGCAGGGTAGATATAAGGGTGATTTGGGTTTCGAGCTAGGAATGTCATGTAGATCCTGTGTCCAATAGTGCTTGAAGTATGCAAATGCCCTCCTCTTTCCAGCATTCATAGCCTTGGTAAATGTCCATAAGACCTTTGGAAGAAAAATAGATAGAATCATCACTGCATATAAGTTACTCAGTAGAGGTTTTGGAAGCTTTCCTCTTACTCAGCTTCCTCTTAATTCATATGCACTGTATGTAGAAGTTAACACATGTCAGAGACAGGATTGTGTCTACTTAAAGACACAGACCTCCATATTCATGTTGTCTGGCTCTAACTTCTTTGTTATATTTCATATGGAATTATCCAGCTCTACAAGTCCCTCAGAGTTGAGCTTTCTTGGATGTCCCTATAACCTTACCACTAATCACAATGCCCTAGCCAAGCACGTCACATGGTCTCTGTTACTAGAGTGACCCATTATCTCCATGGCTGTTAATGAGTCAGTACTATGGCTGCTTCTGCTACCAACACACACACCAGACACCATGGAACATGACAGTAATGGTAGTACCAGCACCTTGATGGTGGCTTGGGCTCATTGGAGTGTTTACTGTGCTTTCCAATGCAATTTCATGTTCTAATGGGCACAATGAGCTCTATTAACAGCAATTCCCTCATGTACACTTTCTTCTACATCTCTACTCCAGCCCTTATCCTCTGCTACAGTAGCTAAGACATTTACAAATTTGACTCCAGGTGACTTAAATCCATTTCTTGGGTCTGAAAAGCCATCAGTGCCTTATAGCAAGCTCCCTATCATTTAATCTTACATGCTCAAAAACCTTCTTAGCTATTAATTCTAATGCATACCCTTTTATATTGTGTCCCTTAAATCAAACAGCCTCAGTGTCCAATATTAAATCTCATTCATGTTGCTCTTGTAGATGCTACCTGGTTTCCGTAGCCAACTGTGGTATGTTCTCTATGACCTGATTAGGTCCAGAAAGCTGTTAGGTCAGGGCCTTTTAACCAAGGAACTGCTGGGTCAGCTTGCCTAGAGTTTGCCTATTTCCTTACAAAACCAAGGCTTTGTGGCATCTTCTCTAATGAGAAGAACTGACTGTTAGAGGGATATAGAAGATACCATATAGGCATTAAAGGTTAAGAAAACACACAGGGATCCTTCCTCAGTGACAGAAACACTTACCCACACTTCCAGGTCCCAGCACTTTCCAACCATCTCTGCAGCAGTGAATGTCTTCACCCCAATCCCTGTATGTGTTTTTTGTTTTGTTTTGTTTTGTTTTGTTTCAATTTTTGGGTACACCTGCTTTCCTTCTTCTAGAAATAAGCATCTTCTGCCCCAAAGAAGAGGAAAATCTAACATGAAGATAAAAACGATTCTTATCTCTAAATTCTACCCTGTGGGGATGCGAAATTCTCCCTCACTGCAGTAATCCCTGCTCTGCCACTGAAGTGCTGGGTAGTAAAAATGACACTGGACATCTAGACAGGGGCTGTTTATTTGAGCTGTAAGAGAATGGATTGGACTAAATTCTGCTACCAGTGTGACTGATGCGTATCTTCTCACATAGATAGGTCACAGAACAGACTGAGAACAAACTATCTAGACAGCCCGTTGCGCCCAGAAATTCATGTTTCACTGATCCCAGTTGGCCTTTACGTCACCTACCTCAGCAGTAGCCCTCACACTAATTCGCGCAGGAAGCCAGCTCCTTCCGTTTTCCTTACTAGTCTCCCTAGGAAAAGGTGTCATCCTCTGACACAAAAGCATCCAAAGTAAACTTCTCCCAGGGTGTTTGCATATTTTGTTTTATTTTCTCTTCTCTTTGAATTATGAAGTGAGTGGCTTTCCACATGGAAGGAATTTTAGTCATGAGTTTCTGGGGCAAGAATGTGTGGGAAATCTGAGGGATTCGGGTACAATGCCTCATTTGGTCTGCTGAGAGATGTGACGTGGCTGGATAGAGTACCCCTGCATGGTCCCTGGTCGTCCGATTTAGGGGACGTTCATATTCCTGGGATCTGCTAAAGGTCTTCTCAGCACTGAGAAGCACCAGTAGGTCTGTGGAGCTGGCTAGCTTTCTCCTCCCCATCACTCACTTGTTGCCAACAAAGCTCCCAAATGCCCCATACCTGGGTCCAGCCCTCATGACCTTGGCTGTCTCGCAGCCCGGGTCCTCCTCTCTCTCTCCAGACAGGCAGTTTGGGAGCCTCTGAGTTCCACTCCCTGTCTGTGTTATCCTTCACCTCAAGCTTTGCTGATATTCATTCAGGGGATGGTTGAAAACGTTCCTTGTGCATTTACCACACCACATGCCTTTGGCCTAAGAGTAGGAGTAGAACACAGGGGGAAATTCAACAGAAGGCATAAAGAGGGAGGAAGAAAGAGAATATCAAAAATCCATGGCATTTGTACTCGTCTCCGGGGAGAAAATACAAGCTCTGGTGTACATAATGAGTCCAGAAATTAACAACACCCAATGAGGAAGCTACAAATGTGTTTCATTTATTTAACAAGTGGTTGTTGAGACAGGGGATGGCCCAGTCAGTAAAGTGCTTTCTGCAAAACCCAAGGGCACAAGTTCAAGTCCAAGCACCCATATATAAAGCCAGGTATGGTGGCATACATTTGTAATTCCAGTGCTGGAAAATTGAGACAGGGAGATTCTCTGGAGCTCATTGGCCAATAGACATAGTAAATAGCAAGCATCGGGTCCCAATGGGAGATCATGTCCCACAAAACAGGAATGGCCCCTAAAGAAGACACCTGAGATTAATCCCTGGCCTCCAGCCTTCCCTAAACACACACATATGCATATATACCTGAGTACACACAACACTCCCCACAGACACAAACATAATACATAAATAAATGACTGATGCCTTTGTAATGATAAATTGTTTATCCTTATTGCCCAAGATATATGAAGAAGATTGAAAATGGTATATGTGATTCATTAGCTTGGGTGGGGTTTTTTTTATCAATTTGTATGATTTCAACAATAAATTTTAAATACATCTAAGGAATAATGATGAGGCTTTTGAAATACTTATAAGTGGTATTATGGAAAGAAAAACGAAAGTCAGCTCCAATGTTCCATTACTAAATATACATTTAAAGTGATCCCTGTAAAACAACCCTCATGTTTTGTTGTGTTTTGTCATGTTCTTACAGTGTGAAAGGCTGTGTGCTTGTAATTGAACATTACATGATCCACTCTAACTCTAATTGTGGTGACAACAGTCACTAAAACCAACTTGTAGAGACGAATGGATCTTATTGACCTTATAGGAAAGGCCTATAAAACCCAAGAGACAGCTCAGCTTTCTCAAACTTTCCCCTTTTATACTGACTTCCAAACATGGCATAAAATTATATTAAATATGTTATATAGTCTCACAGCAAAGCTCCTCTATATCTAGTCTCAGAAGGATCTTGATATTTTTTTTTAATTTTTTTCATTTATTTGGATCTTGATATTTCTTATCTGTGGTAAATCCTGGAACCATAGAGTTAGGACCGACTAGAACTCATGTTAGAAACTGTTTCAGACCAGTAACTATTCTCACCCAGTTATTTGCTTATTTATTAAAATTTTCTACATTTTTATTTTTGTCTGTGTACAATGTACATGTGTTAGTGTGTGAGTGCATGTGTGTGTGTGTGTGTGTGCAGGAACATTTGTGTGTAAGTTCATGTGGAGACCAGAGGTTGACATCAATTACTCTCCACCTTGTTTTCTTGAGATGGTCTCTTTCTAAACCTGGAGCTCAGTGCTCCAAGAACCCCCTGTGATAGAGTTGAAGATGCAAGCCATCATGTCCAGCCTTTATAACCCCTTCTGCTTCCAAAGCAGCCAATTTACCAATTTACTGAGCCATCCCCTGCATAGTCATTACCATATTTCTTTACATTTTGACACACACACACACACACACACACACACACACACATATATATATATATAGTGACCATACTCACCCCTGCCCATTATCCTCTCTTATTCCCCCCCACTTTCCTCTGAACCCCTTTTTCTTCCCATCTAGTCTCCCATAGGCTAAAACATTAGACAAAATTACACGCCCTCCTCCAGCACTCACTAACAGCCATTAGCTCCTTGGGGAGCTAAGTAGGGTATGTCCTCGCTCCATGTTGATATCTCAAGGGTCCAATCTTGTACAGGTTTCTATAACCATTGTGTGATCATGGTAGCTGTAGCAATGTCCTATCTGGGTGGCAACATTTCATGACACTCTTCCCAATCCTCCATGGTTTAAATTCTTTCCACCCTCTCTTTTGTGATGCTCCCTTGGATGGGGAGGGGGCTTTGCTACAGATGTCTCTTTTAAGGCTTTAGCACTCATAGTTTTTTCCATTGGGAGGATTCCTGTATTTTAAAAATCATTCTAAATTAAGATCAATGGAGTTGTCTGACTAGAAATTATTTTGGAATAATATTCATTTTAGAATTAATATATTTTATTTAAAGTTTAATAGTTATTTCCTTGGAGGCAAGAGGAAGGAATTAATATATGAGAGCATGAAATTTTTCACATTTTGCTTTGCACATGTTGCTTGAGTATTTGAGATTAACAGTTTTTAATGTAAAAGTATAAATTTACCAGTCAAGCTAGAAGGGAACATTTAATAAAAATGATAGAATTATGACCTTGAAACTTAAGAGGCTTTTAAGTTTTATTACTGCTTTCAAGTTTTCCAAAGAGCTCCTTTGATTTGCTGGTCTATAAAATATAAGTCTTTCAGTTTGCTTGTCCCGGCTTGGTAAGTCACACACCACATTATGAATAACATGTTCTTTCCTTAGCTTCCCAGAGCTCAAAGATTCCCTGAGTCTTACCAAAGTGAACTCGACAATCTGGTGATGGGCCTGTGCGACCATGTGATTTGGAAATACAAGGATGCCCTGGAGGAAACAAAAAGAGCGAACCACAGTGTCGCCAGATTCCTTAAGGTACAGCTATGTGAGAGCACAGTTCTGTTCAAGTCCCCTTGACAGTGGCTGCAAAGCATCCTAAATGCCATTAACTTACTCTCTATTATGATGAAGGCTCAGAAGGTAAGATGAACACTGCCACGTCTACATTTCTCCTCTTGACATATGTTTTAATATTCATTCCAACTCAAAAGCTCTTTCATATCACATGTGCTCCATTATCTCCTCTTATACTTTTTATGTGGGTTGCAACAATCATTGCTTTCCAAGAAAGCTTCTTCATGCACACTTCATTCTGGTGAACCTTTCCCTTGTGCTCTGGTCTCCCCATCCACATCAAACTACTATCTGCTTGAATCCTTCTCTCCCCAATTCCCCATCTCTACTTTCACTACACCAACACTCTACTATTCCCTCCCCTTGATATTTTTTAATATTCTTTTCCTTTCAAGTAGAAGGAAAAGATGGTGTGTGTTAAAAGGGAAGAGAGTAAAGGAGAGAGGACAATGACTCACATTTTCTACCACACTTTAAGGCCCGGAGAGTGAAGTGTTTTGTGTTGCTGGTGGCATACTGGAAGTGCTTGACAGAATAGAAAATTTGGTGAACAAATTTATATCCAGTCCAACTTGTAAGCAAAATGCATTTAAGGAAACCTCTGCAGTATTCTTCCCTAAATTGGGAAAAAAATAAAGATAACTAAGCAATTTTCTAAGAAAGCGAAGAGACCCCATATATACTACTCTTGGCTTGGATGTTTGTTAAAAAATATGTGTTTATTTGTAGTGTATTTATACAAAGGTTATTGCTGTCTATGTATAAACCTCATGTGGAGGCAATGGAAAATATCCAAGATGAAAAAATAAACGGTAATGGTGAAAAAGCATAGACTGATAATAAACACATATAGGTAAAAATAGCAATAACAATACTTCACATAGACTCCAGGTTGATCTACACACATACACACACACACACACACACACACACACACACACACACACGAGAAATTTGTGAATAGAAAGATTATACTTTGTATCATAAATGTCCACAAAATCCATCAAGCACACACACTTCTAATTTAATTACATTTTATTTATTAATTTATTAATAATTTATTGACACAGAAGACAACAAATGCTTTTGGGATCATTGTTGAAAATACTATCAAGCCATCACCAGCACCTCCCCCATACACCCCGCCTACACACGTGCTGCAGACTCAAATATGACTACGTCCAGATGCTGGTGTTCATCACACGTCAGTCAGAACTGCTGAGCCTATGCGTTGCACCTGGTGCTCTGCTATGAACCAGGGAATGAGACACTTTCTCAGTTTGGTTTCAGCAGTACTCGATAATGTGCTTTCTCGGATCCAAAATTAATTCTCTTCCTAAACCAAAACTGTAAATATGGTGGTTGCATGAGCAACAGGAAAATTGTTTAAATGCTTGAAGCAAAGTAGAGATGTCTTCTCTAATTTTCAAATATTTTTGTTTTGTTATCAACAGAATAGTGAATTTCCAATGTATTATTGGGAAAAAGCACAAGCTACATTTTTAACATAAATATTGTCCTCGACTGCTATATATATATAAATATATATACACATATGGGACAGCAGTCTCTGTATCAATGTTTACATGTTACTACTTTTTAAATTTCAATACTTTTATAACTGTTCTTAAGAATAAGTTTTGAATATTGAATCCTTTGTCTTCTAAATTGCAATAGTTATAATCACAAGAGCAATATCTCTTTGAATGACTGTCTGGACACTCATGGTATGAATGAGGGAAGAGTAGGAGGAAGAAAAATCTATTTAGTGATTAAAATCTGTCCTCAGTTTTGGCCAATAATGGAGTTTAAACATACACAGATGTGACTCTGTAAGAATGTGCATTTTTCATGGACTTTGGGTTTAAAATTAGATGGCAGTAAACATGTTTTGTAATGCTAAGTAGGAGCAATGAAAAGACAAACACAGTAAACTGTAAATGCACAGAATATACTTTGTATAAAAACTACCATCATTATAATGCCATTTAACAAGTCAAACCAAGACTGTAACTCCAAACCATGTAGCAGGTATTTTGAACTTTGTATTCAGTTGTATCCTGTCTAGATACTTTAATTCAAAGGGATACTGGCTCTCTTGCTTGGGGTTTCTTGTTCTCACC